TACAATTTGCCACTATGTCTGGCGTATGTGGACTATGAGAAAGCCTTTGATTCCATCGAAATTTGGGCGGTGCTGCAGTCCCTTCAGCGGTGCCAAGTGGACTGTCAGTATATCGAAGTGCTGAAGTGCTTGTACAGTAGGGCTACGATGGCTATCCGAGTACAGAACCAGAGTACGAAACCTATCCAATTGCAGAGAAGTGTAAGACAGGGTGACGTTATATCCCCGAAATTCTTCACCGCTGCATTGGAAGACGTTTTCAAGCTTCTGGACTGGAAAGGATACGGTATTAACATCAATGGCGAGTACATCACTCACCTTCGATTTGCCGACAATATAGTCCTTATGGCAGAATCGCTGGAGGACCTAAGCACTATGCTCAAAGACCTCAATAGTGTCTTACAACGGATAGGTCTTAAGATGAACATGGACAAAACAAAGATTATGTTTAATGTCCATGTCACACCTATGCCGATAGTTGTTGGGAGCACTAAGCTCGAAGTTGTTGACGAGTATGTTTACCTGGGACTAGGTAAGTCCAACTTCGACCGAGAGGTCAATCGACGGATTCACCTCGGTTGGGCAGCGGTCGGGAAATTACGGCACATCTTCTCGTCAAAACTTAAAAACGAGACTGTACAACCAGTGCGTGTTGCCAGTGATGACTTATGGAACTGAGACATGGTCCTTCAATGCTGGCCGGATGAGGAAGCTCGACGTCTCTCAGCGAGCTATGGAGGGGGCTATGCTCGGAGTTTGTCTGCGTGATAAACTTAGAAATGAGTATATCCGCCATTAGAACCAGAGTAACCGACATAGCCCAACGGATTAGTAAACTGAAGTAGCAATGGGCCGGCCATATAGATCGAAGAATATGGATTTATATTTGGAGATCTGTCTGTTCAGTTGCTTGTATGATCGGAGAGTTTTTGTGTTCTTCTGCGGCGGGTCTTGCTAAACTTAGCTCCGACCACATGGACAGTTTCCACAAGCTTGTCATTCATATCTTTCACTGCATTGCAATCTTCTAAGCACTGTAAACGGTTTCGTAGCTCGAGCTGAAAGGTTTCGGGACTTTGGATTAGAGCACGAGGGGAACGGAGCGTTGACTTCATTAGACGCGTCTTCTCCAACTTAACTTTTAAATTCAGTGTGCCCCTCACCCCCTCACCATTCGGTAATCGCTGCCGGTTTTCACCCTCGCGATCACTGAGACATCACTGAACAGTCGTCTGGTCGTCATAATGAAGTCAATCTAATTTTTTGTCGAACCATCGGGGCCCGACCATGTCGACTTTCTGTGGGGCCGCTTCTGGAAAAAAGAGTTAATCATAAAGAGTTCCTATTTCTCCATGAAGTCGGCCAGCTGCTGGTCCTTTTGATTTCGTTGCCCTATTCCAAATTTCCCTACTTTCAGCTCCCCATTCTCTCTTGTGCCTAGTTTTGCGTAGAAGTCTCCCATTAACACCGTAAAGTGGGTTTTGGAGGAATGCATGTCTCTAGAGATATCCTCATACATTTCCTCCACCTCATCATCGGGGTGTGCCGAGGTTGGTGCGTAAACCTGTATGACCTTCAGTGAATACCGTTTGGTGATTCTAATTATAAGGTACGCGACTCTCGTCGACACACTCCCAACACACAGCGTTGTTAACGTGAGACTTGTGGACGATAAATCTGACAGCTCCTTGGAACAGATGGTCGCCCTCCCGGTGATAGAACAAGTTGCCGGATTCGAAGATTACCATGTCCTCCCTTCTTCGGACCCCGGAGATAGTTTATAATATTCCAGCGCAACTTGTCTATCTCTTCTTCCAGCTCCAGGATCTTCTCGTCAGTCCTCAGGGTGCGTGCGTTATAAGTTGCCAGGTCGAGTGATCTTAGGTGGCAACCGAACCTCCATCGGAGATTCTTAGCACCCCCTGCCCTGCCGTTACCATGGTTGCCACCGTAGCCTGGAATAGCGGGGCCGCCGGGGACTGGGCCCGTCTCTTAGTAACTTTATTTATTTTGGGGGGTATATTACCATAGTTGCCACAGTTTTTTATTGTGATATTGCTGTTATCAGGAAGATGCTGCTGACCCTCTCCTGACTGTTTCCCACTGTCGCCTCATACGACACCCACGGGAAGGTATGGGGTAGTGGATATTCTTAACCGCTCCTACACGGTATAGCCGTTCATTGTTACATAAATCACCCGAGTCTGAAACACCGTAATATATCAAATAATAAACTAACAAAACCCACAAAATAAAATCCATGATAATAAGTCGTTATAATCAAGTTTGTAACGTATTTCTTAGTATAACTATCCACAAATATTAAAGTGTTTGTTTTTTACTAAAAATTATTTAATTAATAGAAAACATAATGCAACAATTATAATCAATTTTTATGGTACTTTTTTTCTTACATGTGCAGCTTGATTCTATGTTATACTACAATTAAACTTACAACAAGAATTTTCCATGACAGAATAAAATTATCAACTAAGTTCAAAAACAAATATTGTCGATCCTCAACGGAACGGATATTTTGAAATAGCATCTACGGAATCGTACAGAATTTTTTATACCAATCTACGGATTTGGAGAAATTTGATTATAGGTTCTCGGAACCGGTATTTAGAACCGGTACATCGGAACCCGAACCGGAACCGATGCCGGAACTGGAACCGTACCGAAAAAAAGAACCTTTATAAGAACCTAAATGAAGAACCAGAACCGAAATTGGTACCGGTATTCAATCCCTGCCGGTACGTCCTTAATGCCGGTGAGGAATGCATGCTGTGTGCGTAAGGGCAAGTGACGCCGGTGCGAACGATATGCCGGTGTGTAATGCATGCCGTACTACGCACTTGCAAGTGATGCCGGTGAGAACGATGAGCCGGAGCAAGTGCCAGGGATTGCCTTGTAGTCTGCGGTGAGTCGAGAAGAAGGCAAGTAATTACTCTCGCGCCGTGAAGCAGAGGCGAGCAGTAAGGCTCAGAGCCGTGCCGAACACTGTAGAGCAGAGAGTAGCTTGAAGGAACAGGAAACATTATTATTCCAGTGCTGCGATGAACCTTTGTAAAGCTAGGTGGCTTGCAGAATGTAAAGACTGCAGACAATATCTGCTCGGGAGCGAATGAATGGGGTACTTGAGGACGATGACGTAGGTTTTGAAGTTGTAGTTTCCGAAGGTTGTTGGTTGCGTGTTCATATGACGTCGATTGGTCATCAGAAGGAAAAGGGGAGATCTCCCGCCGGGCAAGGTGTTCTGCCCGGGGAGCGGCCAACGCTCCGATTGGTAGTTCGGAGCTATTCTATATATACTGCTTTAACTTTGGAACTGTGTTGAACTGTGTTTCGCTTGTGGCGCGGCGACAACGCCGCCACAACCATCTCCGTAAAATTTGGACATCCATAGAATGTTTCTTAAAAATTTTTCTTCGTCTACGTCGGCGTTCAGCATGAAACGACAAAAGTGGAGTCTACTCGCTGGGTCGCTCTTGTACAGCGTTTGTACTGGTTGGTAATGGTACGGATGTCGGCGTGACAGGTGCACCACCGGCCATACCTTCCACTGGGACATACCGAGCCGGCGTGCTACAATGTTCATTGAGACGTTAGGGTCGTCAATAAAATGTGGTCTGCAAGTATTCACTTGATTTCTGTGAATAGTGCCGATTTCACTTAATCGTCGATAGGTAGCTCTGAAGATAGAAACGTGGGGAAGCCGGCTATCAGGAAAGCGACGTTGATATTCTCTACGAGTCCCACAGCAGCGTTGCCGTCAGCAAAACCATAACAGTACATGATGTTGGCATATTCTTTATTAGAATATGACGCCATTTTAACTTCGATGCACAAAAACAGTAAAAGTTAAAAGGCAGAAACAGATAACGGTAACAGCAATGGTAAAAATAACGATAACGAGTGAAAACAATAACAAATGAATTAACGCGATGACAGTTTATTAGAAAAAAGTTTAAGCACGTGCTTGCGCAGCGATAGTCAAAACTAACGAGCGTCACTACGACTCAATTTAAAATGGCCTTCTGCTTTCTACCAACCAATCACCAACCAATCATCAAACCAATCAGATAAGTCACTAAAGCTGAACGCACATATGTCCGCGCCGTACGCGCCGAATTTTAGAATTCGTTGTATGAAATCATATGAAACCTCGCACACTACACCCGCACCGTACGCGCCGAATTTTATAAAATGCGGTAGGTATACGATATCGAAGGACGAATGCTGATGACGTCATATAACGCGGCGCGTTTGGCGCGTGTGGATACTCAGTGTTGTGTAATGTTGCCAACTTCGTGGATTTTCCACTAAAACTGGTGGTTTCGACTTTTGTTTCGAATTATATTTTTTAAGTGTTAAGTGTACACTGCGGTTAGAGAAAGAAATTGAAATTCCGATAAACGTTGTGAAACAAATTGGTACAAATAAATTATATCAATCTAAAACCGACGACGATGGTGTCGACAAAAATAATTAATCTGAAGAGAACGATTTAATTTAAAATAGCAGTTACTTAAATAATATATTCTTGATGTTGACTTGTTAATTTCCTATTGTATTTTGATTTATTGGCTATTAACATAGACATTTAATATTTGGTACACAGTATGTAATAATAATAATAATGATAATGATCATCATCAGTACAGCCCTTCACAAGTCCACTGCTGAACATATGCCTCCTCCAAGGAATGTCACAAATGTATGAAATAATAAAGGTAACCAATTATTAATATACTTATTGTTTTCTTCCTTAATAAAAAAATGTTTAGTGAAATAAATATTTCACTAAACCATACTCTCATAATCCCTAAATAGGTATTATGAGAGTATGGTCGCTTTGTGTTGGTGGTTTTAAAAGTTTAATCTTGCGGAGAACTAGTTTAATGGCAGCACTGGCTGGTGCCTCGTGCCTGTCTGTCATTCGCGCCCGCAGAGCTAAGCGACGCGCACGTAGTTACTAATCATATACCCACGAACCAATGGACGAAATAGCATTAATATTGTTTGTACAACAATATGAGGAGTTGTATAATTTGCAACATCCCCACTATATGAATCAGCAAAGGCGGGACAACATATGGGAAGAGATTGGGGAACGAATGAATGAGACTGGTGAGTAATTAATCATTTTAAATCCAAAATCATGATCAAGGCGCCACCTACACAATCTATTCACAGCTATTTTACCGCTGGCGATTTACTTATAATTAAGTATTTGTCCAATATAATGTAATATAGAATAACATGCTTTTTCTGTAGAAAGAAATCTCAAGCTACCTATTATAGCTATTTAAAAATTATAAAAAGACTATATATAACTTCAGAGAAAAAAGTAAAATAACTGTGGACGGCCTGTATGTAGGTAGGTTGGTGTAACTACATAAGGTTTAAAGTATTTTTGACTAGGTACTAATTATAACAGACAGTAACAAAAACTGGCCGAGTACGTGTCGGTACGTAGTACTATTATTTATTCTGAGGTTTAGGGCTAGTGGTATTTAGTACGGTGTCATCCCCTCTGACCGAATCATCATTCAATACTTTCAGTAATCTGGGGGCACGGCAGTACCCCCAACCCAATCATTAGATTGTTTAGTGCGATTGCCAATTCAATTAATTTATTTAAAACATACATAAAAAATATTTTTTTCTAATAAGTATTTAGGCACTTTTGAGATTTATTTTTGAGTTTTTATTCAAGTATGGCCTCTCATAAAGCCAAAAGGTGCTGCATAGCATACGGGTGCTTAAATAACAATAGGAATGGTGACTTTTCATACTTTACTGATCCTAAGGATACCGAAAGTTAATATATTATTATTTATAGATAGATATAGATAATTAGGTACTTAGTTACTGACGCCATAGTTACATACATACTACGCAGTTTTCGGGGTTTTCCCGTATAATGCCAATGATCTTAAAAAAAACGTTCAGTGTAAGTAGGCCTCCCAGTACTAGTGATTTTTTTCCATAGTAAAACTGCAAGAGTTGTTGGCAATCCAAAATATTTGCGTACGGCGCGGGCGGTGCGTGCGTGCTAATGTGCGAGGCCATCAGGAAAATTCGGCGCGTACGGCGCGTACGGCGCGTACGGCGCGGACATATGTGCGTTCAGCTTAAAAGTGTGCAAGTCCGTTCCTAAGACAAAATCATTATTTGCCGTCCTCTACCTGTGCTAGGTAAAAGACCCTTTCATTATTATTATTCAGTGACTTCACCGGGATATTATTACCTCTTTGGGTAACTGATAAATGAACATGTTTTTTTAAATATTTTTATGTCTCATGTCATGGTATTTTTTTTAAGTACGTAACATATGATACATAAAGTTTATAATAAAGAAAAAAAATTATTAAGACCCATAATTTTTTATTTTGAATACTCTTTGTACTTTTTATGATTGTATTCGCTTGGTTGAAACTTCAAGAAAATAAATAAGCTTAAAAGAAAGCATAAAAAAAAAGTTTTATCTTATTTAGAATTTAATACGAAATTCTGGGTGATTATTGAAAAATCTTTAAAATCCGTATATCTCAAGACCTCTTCATTTTCGGCCATTCATATGGGGGGTCAAATTTATAGCATTTTGACTCTACTATCACGCCCTGCCAGGAAGTTGTCGAGTTCCCAGTAACACTGTATATGTATCTTACTACGAGTCTATCATACTTGACATATTTAAATAAAAACATGCGTGCAGTTCACACGCTGTAAGAGTGAAACCTTCAAATGAAATGAAATATAAAATAAAAATATTTCACGGCAAATTATTTATTTGATATGATCATTTTCAACCACAATTGCGACATAAAATATAAGATAGAAGTTTTATTTTATAGTTAATAAATGTTACAATCCTTATTTTTAGATTTAATTTTAGTGTAATAAATCTAAAGAATATTTTCTTTCTAATAAAATTGCATTGTAATAGCGCTACTCTCTACTATATATTTCGTTCTATAGGTAAATTCATTTTATCGAAACAACTCAAGGTGGTATGTAAAATAGACGCTAGATGGCCTGAAGGGCATTAAAAGAAAAGGGAATGAAAGTGAACGCAAGTAAGACGAAAGTTATGGTTTTTGAAAGCGAAGAAAGTAAAACGATATGTGAAATAAGAATAGAAGGGGAGTTGGTAGAGCAAGTAGATGAGTTTGTATATTTGGGATGTGTGTTTAGCAGGGATGGTAGATATGATAAGGATATAGAACGACGAGTGAATGCAGGAAGTAGAGTGAATGGGGCTCTACACTCTATTGTGAAAAGTCACGGCAACGTCGACATAGTCGGGAAGGGTCGCCCTAGGCGAAAGTTTATCGACCAAATTGACGATATATTAAAAATGGGCCATATCAAGAGTACCTTTAACCGACGAGCATGTATGCGTAGTTATATGGATGTGGAGGAAGCGAGAGAGGTGTGTCAGGATCGTGCCAAATGGAAGTCCATAATCTCTGCCTACCCCTCTGGGTGACAGGCGTGAGTGTTTTTATGGTCTGAAGTTATGAAATCGTGGATTGGTATATTAAGTTAATTTTATCCAATGTGGTTCATTTTATTTATTTAAGTTAAGTTTAATAAGTAATTTTAAGTTTTTTAATTTGTTAAATAAAACAAAAATAATATATTTATTTTTTAAAGACAAAAATAAAGACAGTAGTCGAATAGCGGATTCTAACACACAACTTTTTGATTTCGCAGTCTACACTGTATTCTGCTGTCTCATTCTCTCGCAGGCTAAAACCTTATTAGTTTTTCTCTTTTCAGTGTCACATTTTCATTTTATCGAGTTTCAAATCACACCGATCCTAAAGAAGCTTTCACTTCAAAAATCAATACGATAGGAGACGTGATAACTCAATTATACCGTTGGCTCTAAAAATTAGAAACTTTTACAAAAACTCTTTACTAAATTATCCTGAATTATCACTATATAAATGGAACTACCTACTGCAAGAAAGGACTCTTAATTTCTCATCTAATATAAGAGACTGTGTAAATAATTTATATATTTATAGATAGTTTAAAGCAAATTCTAGAAACTTTTAGGTGATCGGTGATAAATGAATATAATTAATGTCTAATAAATACTCACTAATTAATACCTACAAGCATTTTAAAGAGGTATAAATTCAGGTCAGTTGACACAGTCATCAATTATGGACACACAACAGAACATTTCATATCGCGTTGAGTTTCTGAATTATCTAATTGTTAGGTGTACCTGAACAGGGGCGTAGCTACCGCCGTATCAGCCGTATCAATAATACGGAGCCACAGGGCTACAGGGGCCCCGAACGTATGTAAGCAAAAATTCTAAGGACTTCTGTGGGACAGGATGTTGGTTTGAATTGTTTGCCTAGCTTAGTTCCTAAGAGTATTATTTGCAAGTAATAACTTATAATCAATATATAATTATTTTAATTCAGTGCGAGAGTTATTGTTACTTTTGTGAAAAATCTTTAGGGTTATTGGGGGGAAGATGAAAAAGGGGGTAACACAAAAAGGCATCAGTAAAGACAGATTTTGTGTAAATTATCCAATGCAGGCAACATTCATAAAACTGCCATTTTGTTACGTACCACACCTAAGTTGGCACTTGCCGTTTTGAGGGATTGGTTGTGTGTTAAAAGGGAATATCTACTCTGTGAATTTTACGCGAGCAAGTCGGGTGTTTTAGTCTTACCCCGTGTCGTATAACTTGACTTACGAGGTAGGTACGAGTTTTTTATTTGTATACATACTTATTATTTTTAATTGGTAGTTATGTTGCTATGTCTAAATATCGCTACTTTTTGGATTTTAGGATTTATTGTAACATTCCGTCTTTACCCGCCAATATTTGACGTGGTAAGATAAACATATAAAAGTTTCCATCTTGACCCGTTTTCAAAAGTCATACAAATGGTTTCATGTTCTCAAACTGTACCTGAAAAAAATGTTTTGTTTTGTTACAGCCATTATATAGATTGTCAGCGGCACAATTTAAGCTAATATTATCTAAAGGTATTTATTTTAATTTTTGTATATTATAAGAGAGGCAAAAAGAGCAAGCGGGTCACCTGATGGCTAAGTGAATTCACCGCTGCCCATAGACACAATAAACAACAGGAGTGTTACTTGTGCGTTGCCTTCTCATAAGGTGTAGGAACAGGATTCGTAGGAATGGGAGTAGGAACTTAAAGAAAGGGGAAAGACCACCAGACACTCGTTAGTAAATGCAACATCACAGCTTCTAGAACAATGCAACGTCACATCGGTTTATCTAGCAAACATCAGCATTCGGGTGGCCTTAGGAAAAGGGGAAAAGGAACGGGCATCCGGAACTCTCACTCATCTGACGAAACATGGCAGCCACTAAGAAGCTAAGCACTTCACGCTGATTTTCTGTGAGATGGTAGTATCGCACCGGTCAACCCTGCTTATTTATGTGTTACAGTGAACTGTAGATGGATCTACAACCAATTTTTTTATTAATGTTTAGATAATATTTGTTTAGAAGTTTTTCTGTTTTTATTTGTGGCATTTTTCTAAGATCTTATTAATTAGCTGTTAATTTTGAAATATTAAATTTTTTACGTTTTGTGCTACATATTTTGTCGACGAAAATGGTAAAAGGTACATGTACGTAATTGTGGTTAAAATTATCTTGGCATTAACAATAAAAAAATTTATATAAATGATATCTTTCATTTTCTGTATAATCTTATCCAAGTAAAGTGAAAAGTTTGAGAACCTCTAGTTCAATCTTTCCCCGGCGGGGCAAGATTTAAATATAAAAAACAAATAAGTTGTGTTATCTGTGTTATTTGAAGGTATTTCGATATTATAGACAGTTCTGAAGTGTCAGGACAATTAAAATTGTAGCCTACTGAACATCAATATCGTCTGACATTAATTTGAACGATTTTAGAAACTACTTCGATCTTTCCCCACCACCCTTTCATCTTTCCCCGTGTTTTTTTCTTTAGATAAAAACATTGTAATTAATTTTTTTTGCTTTCAAATAAATATAACAGGGATTTATAGATATGACATAAAAATATGCTCTTTGTACTTTATTCACTATAGATATAATTTTAGCTCAAGTTAATATGTACCTTTCTACAAGACGTCAAACACAACACTGCTCATCTCATCAAAAAACCGTTCGATCTTCCCCCCAATCACCCTACCCTTCATTTGGACCCCCCCACAAATTTTGATACAGGGCCCCTCTAAGGCACGCTACTCCACTGACTCTGAACATAAACTTTATTTGAAATGAGGGATTTCGATCATGTAATGCGGAATTTGGATACACCGCAAATATAAGACGTGACAGTGCTTCACTTGGTTGAAAGTGGAAACATAATTGTTGGCATAAATGAACCGGAAAGGACAAAAATTTTATCGTCAGGGAACAATGCAACGTCACATCGGTTTATCTAGCAAACATCAGCATTCGGGTGGCCTTAGGAAAAGGGGAAAAGGAACGGGCATCCGGAACTCTCACTCATCTGACGAAACATGGCAGCCACTAAGAAGCTAAGCACTTCACGCTGATTTTCTGTGAGATGGTAGTATCGCACCGGTCAACCCTGCTTATTTATGTGTTACAGTGAACTGTAGATGGATCTACAACCAATTTTTTTATTAATGTTTAGATAATATTTGTTTAGAAGTTTTTCTGTTTTTATTTGTGGCATTTTTCTAAGATCTTATTAATTAGCTGTTAATTTTGAAATATTAAATTTTTTACGTTTTGTGCTACATATTTTGTCGACGAAAATGGTAAAAGGTACATGTACGTAATTGTGGTTAAAATTATCTTGGCATTAACAATAAAAAAATTTATATAAATGATATCTTTCATTTTCTGTATAATCTTATCCAAGTAAAGTGAAAAGTTTGAGAACCTCTAGTTCAATCTTTCCCCGGCGGGGCAAGATTTAAATATAAAAAACAAATAAGTTGTGTTATCTGTGTTATTTGAAGGTATTTCGATATTATAGACAGTTCTGAAGTGTCAGGACAATTAAAATTGTAGCCTACTGAACATCAATATCGTCTGACATTAATTTGAACGATTTTAGAAACTACTTCGATCTTTCCCCACCACCCTTTCATCTATCCCCGTG